TGGTATAAAAATAGTTATATTTTTCTTTTATTTTGTATTCACGATTTAAAAAACACGGACCCAATACCAAGACCCATTTTTGACTAAAACCTATATTTTCTGATATTTCATTACTTGGTCAAATTTGAACCAAATGACGTAAAAATTCTAGAATATATGTAAAAAACTATACTCTATCTAATGAGCCTATAAAAATGGGCACTTAGGGTGACAGGACCCCCCCCCCCCCCCCCCCCCTTAATAAAGAAAATTTTGTTTGTAATGTTAAATACTTAATTATTGTTTGATGCGGTTTTGACTTTGATACAGTAAGAAATAATATGATACAAAACTTCTTGAATTATTTTCTGCCATTTGAACTCATATTAGGTTCATAAGGAGATCTTGGCCGGACTAGATAAAGTCTAAAAGCATTTAGGGTGTGGGTGGGTGTCGGTATTAGTGACCTCTTGACCCACACCCACACCCTTATTTGCTTTTGCGTGCTCAATGACAAATACCGCGTTTTGTTAGATATTCAGGATGTTTTAATGCACTGAAAAAATCACGCAAATATTCTAGCGAGAGTATGTCTTCTGGAAAAAAAAATGTGTTGAAATAATTTTTTAATGGGGTGTAGCATATCGTTTAAAGGAGTTGTTCATAGGGTCTCGTCTGTAATTAATTGGCAGATGAAAAATGAAGAAATGAACAATAAGCACATTTGAACCGTGGACAGAGAGTCGATTTAAAAAGTAAGTAATTCGAATGAGTAATGTAGATTTTGAAGTTAAGATTTTGTTGATTAACGAGTGTTTATTCGGTATGCATTAGCGTCAAGTATATCCAATTCGTCGATGCATAATATTTCCAAAGACGCTATAATAACTTTGAATTAGTTATGATTTTTTCATTCTTGTATCTTCTTAGTTCTCTATTTGTTATTTTTCTCTGGTTTGAATTGGATTATTGTTCATCATTATTAAAAGATCCGATGGCGCGAATATATGTGTATGTCAACTTTTGCCTTTGATTGTGTTGACTGGTATATTCTTATGAATTCTACCTGTATGTATGTTGACAGAACGCATAAAAAACATTAGCTTCTTGTTTTAGATGATTCGTACATGCAAGCTTATTTGTGTTTACATTCATAACTAAAATTTCACTGTATTATTGAAAAAACATAGATAAAACTCGACTCGTTGGATATATCAGTGGTCAATGTAACAAAGAAACTCTATCGTAATCAATAATACAAAAATATCATTCATCATTATGACAGATTTGTTGAAGTAATAAAGATAGCCAGCGGCAAAAGTTAACTTAAGATACATTTGTTCGAAGATGTACACTGATTGAAGCTGGACTCGCACTTTTTTCGATTGATTCAGAACAAAAATTAGCATGTATATTAATTTCGAGGAAAAAATGAAAATATGCATTTACTAAATGTCAATAGATGCAGTCGTAAAATACAATAAAATCGATAAATGTTGACACATTTGTGTCTTAAAATAAAAAAGGGAACTTTTTCTGATGCTCATTTGACTACTGAATGAAAATTAATTTCAAGTAAAAACATAAATACTAAATACTTATGTTTTGTACCTTTGAAAAAATCTAAAAATCTGACATTAAGTTCATTCGATACAAAATTTATTCCTCTGTAGAACTATTAACTTTGTCTTCCGAATGAATTTTTTTTCTTGGCAGGATAAATTTTCATTCATTATAGACAACTGCAATCAAAGTAACTTTGCCTGTATTTATCAGCTTATGTGGCTATGGCTTTGTAGAAAAAGAAGACCGACACATATACCGATACACTCTTTAGTATTGTTAGTTTTCTTTTGCGTAGGGCAGCTTCTAGGTGTGGGGTGTGAGTGTGGGTGGGTGTGGGTTGGATGTGGGTGGGTGTGTGGATGTGGGTGGGTGTGGGTGTGGATGTGGGTGGGTGTGGGTGTGGATACACTTGATTCATTAGCACCGACGCCCACATCCACGCACCCACACCCACACCCTGGTTGATTCCATCTATTCTGAGGGATTTGTCCGGTTTATGAGGTATGTAATGAAGTATATGAAATATAGAATTTTGTAGAGCAGCTTCCGCTCTATCGATTGGTATAATTTGATAATGGGTTCGATCAAATTTTCGTGCGGAAATGTTCATAAATAAAAATGATCGAAAAATTATTGTTTTTGACAAAAAGATATTTTGGATGAAAACTATTAGGTGGTCGAGGTAATAGAAGAGATTGTCCAAAAGTTGTAAAAATTTGGGTTTCTGAGTAACTTTTTATGCTCTTTCAAACTAGCAAACTCATTTCAAAAACTAAAATTTTTCGGCAACTGGTCCTTAGTATTTTTGATGGTGATTTCATGGATCCTCTCTTAAGATTTTGACTAGAAAATGTTTTTTTTTCTGCTCGTTTATCGTTGATAAATTGTGAATATTTTTAAATATTTAATTGTAATCGAGAAAGATAACTTAATTAACAAAGCTGATTCTTCAATATGAAAAATAATTTTTGACATAGTCAAGTTCTCGAAATTCTATATAAAATATTTCTATATCATTTTCAAATAATGAGATATTATTTGATTTAGATTTGTCGAATTCTATAAATGATAATGTACAATTTAAACAGTTCTTTATCGAACTTTATCTTTAACTAAATAGACAAATAAATAAGAGTTAGTTGTTGGTATCAGACATCATTCATATTATTTGTTTAAGTAAACATTAAATAAGACGAACTATTCCTATGTCGTCAAAATCACGCAAAAATCGTCGATTTTATCGCGATTAATCGACGATTCTCTAAATATGAAAAAAAATCGTCGATTAATCGCGATTAATTGGTGATTTTTGTCCTCAGATCGCGATTAATCGTCAAAAGTAAAGCGATTTTGATGACATGGGTTATTTTCAATTTCCTAGTTAATAATAATCTCATTTCTCTTTCAAAGAAAATTGAAATAGAGATCCGATTTTCTCTTTAGAATGAAGAATCACTTAAAAAACTAATTGCGTTGTTAATAAATGATCACATATCAGTTGTTATAGATCAAACATAAATAAATGTAAGAGGGCGTTATAACATTTTTTTTTATCTCTCACATGATAAATAGATTTCAACAGGATTCCATCGATCAGACCAGTTTTCCTTCTATTAATAATGACAGCAATAATTATTCGCTTATATTCTTCAAGTTGATCACGGTATCAGTTAGTAGAACATGTCTAATATCTGTTTATTTGGATATCCTAGTCTATATATATAAGTTGTTGAGTTATTTTACTAAAGGACTCGTTATATTATTACTAATAAAAGATAAAAAATAAGGAAGAAAATGCTGATTGACGAGACTGATTCATGATTGTGATAATGCATCCCTGACGTTCTGGTGTGTTTTGTAGATAATTACTTGCTTAAGGAATGCATAAGAAAATATTCCTCGTTTATTTTTTTAGATTTACAAAAAATATTCTTTTTTATTTCAAACAGAATTTTTTTCCTAAGAAAAACTAATAAAATTTGTTTTAGTTTTTTTCTAATATTAAATCATAAAAATGCTAATAAACTGTATAAATTGAAAAAATGCAATGATTATAGTAATTTTATCTTGATTTAGTTAAAATATAATTAATATGTGGATTTTTTTTAATAGAAGTATAACACATGTCAACATTAATCGAATAAAAATTTAATCTGAATAATATTTTAATCGTTGTTGATTTCATTTGAAAAATAAATTCTTTATTTACACAAAAGCATGTCATCTTATTTCGGGAACAGTGTGTAAATAAACATCAAGAGAAAACGGCGTAAATATGTAATGTTATTCCACAAAAATGCCTATCATGTGTCTTATTAACTATTCTTATAAATAGTTATGAGAGAATCAAAAATTCTTATTATTAACAAATGCAATGTCATCTTTAAGTCAAAGTACACTTCTATGAGATTATTAGATATATTATATTTGGATTTATTTTTTGTTTAGATTCATCATCCACAAATAAGATCATCGAGATTCCTCGAGATTTAATCAAAAATGGAAACATTTTATCAATTGAACAACATTCTGAATTATTTGTAAATGGTCATCATCTATCACAACCATCACATTTTATTAAACAAAATCATGGTTTATGTCTTATTGATAATCAACAACAAGATTCTCTATTAGATCCATCGAATCATCATTTAGATTCAACTAATGATCTTGACCGTAAGTATTTTGGTTTTTATTATCTATATCTATGATTAAAGATTATACTAATTCGCCAACAAATATCTACGTATTTAGATAAAAATAAACCGACTAAGAAACAAGACAAGATAGATAAAGATACAGATTATATAAAAATACAATAATAAAGAATATATATTTTATATTAAAATAGATATCACGTTTACAAAATATTTCATATATAATAATACTATACTCGACAAATATTTTGGACGATTTTGTTTTAAGTCTAACTTTTTCATCAAGTTAATTTTTGAGATGCGGTTTACGTGAAAAGTGCAGACACTATTTAGACTATGTTCATAGAAAACTTCATCCCTAAATGTTGACTCTTTATAGAAGCGGACTTATAACAATCTGAAATGGTCAACTTTTGTTCGACAATGTTTCATATGTTGGAAAATTCGAATTTGTGGCAAACTAGAGATATAGAAATCTAGTGGCAGCTAAACCCTACATTGAAAAATTGTGGAAAAAAAAATCGTTGTTCAAACGATTAAATATCTCTAGAGACATTTTCTCATAGTTAATGACTTCTTATTGAATATTTAACATCTGTCATTTTTTTACCAGCAACTTCTAAGATCTAGGTTTCGAGATATTATTTTTAGATTTTATTATAAATGATGATATTCATTTCAATATAACAATGCAAAGGATGTAAATGAAAATTACAGACAGAAAAAAGAAGTGAAATATCAAAAGTCTAACATTGACTAAGGATTAACATGAGAACAAGATCAAAATACCTAACTTACGATCATATCCAATGGCCCTTTCGATTTAGAGAACCATACAATGATATTGCTTATTTCAATCAAAGATAAATATGTATTAGAATATAAGAGAAAATCAATATCCACGAAATATATATTCATATAATCAACCAATCAATTAGAAAAAACAGTTAACATATGATATTAACTTTGATATAATATTTACAGTGGCTCCGAAAATTATTCGACCTGCTTTCTTTTCAATATTTTCTCTACCTTAAACGCTAAAAAGAGCCTGAAAAGTGATTCTCGTAAAGAATTTCTTTCCAACAAGAATATAAAGAAATAAAAATTATAATCAGATTTCGAAAGATGAGGTCTCCAGAAAAGCAAAACCCTAGCTTTTCAGTGACTAGAATACACAAATATAATTTTGTTTAGGCTACAGATAAAGTTACAGAAACTTCACAAAACAATTTAAAATCGTTTTTTGTACCATTTTCTAAAAAAAAAAAAAAAAAAAAACATTTTTGGATCTAAAATTAAGTTGCCTTATCTCAGCCAAAAAATGTCATAAAGAACTTGGTGACGTCTCATTTTGTAGAGAATTGTTTGCTCTATCGTCGTATGTAGTCTAAACAATATTATAATTGTGCATTCTAGCTGCTGATAAACTAGGGTTTTTGTTTTTTTGAAGATTTCATCTTTAGGAATCTGATTATGATTTTTATCTTCTTATATTCTTGTTGGAAACAATTTTCTTTACGATAATCACTTTTCAGGTTCTTTTTAACGTTTAGGATAGAGAAAATATTGAAAATGAAGCAGGACGAATCAATTTTGGAGCCACTGTATATATACATATAACGGGTGATCCATAAATAAGTGCGCTGCTAGTCTTTTCAAAATTTTTCTTGTATTTTACATCTGATTGAGACATCTTTCCTATGAAAAGATAGCGCTTGAAATCCTGCACAAAGTGATGTACTTTATTTAACGAATATTATTGACTCAATTTTTAGGGACGAAACGAAATTGTAAAGTAAAATCAGATATACAATGTAAAATATTTTCTTTGTCAATGTTTTTTACGTAACATTTTATTTCGTCTATCAATGTTGCCTTTCTTGTTGTATGATCCTGACCCATAGTGTTAGCCTGTTCATTTCAATAATTGTAATCTAATCGACATAAATCAGGCAGATTCAGTGATGAATGGTTTTTATGTATGAATGCACGAAAATGGCCCGTACATCGTTTTTCACTGAGGTAACGTTTCTCAACGTTAAAAAGATTGTGCTAACATCCAGTTTGTAAAATTAGTTTGCTTTGTTTTTTTTTTTGTAGATCAGTCACAGTTGACTCTTTGACCTTCTGCAATCGGAAATAGATAAGATCTTCATTCAATAACAGCAATAGGCGCTTTATTTTAAAAAGGCAGTTTTCTTATCGCCGCGTATTTCCTCTGAGCTACCCACCATTTTACCATTGTGATACAGGCTTTTTTCCGAACAATGAATGGATAACAAGTAGATTTACAAAAATTGATAGAGTCAATACTGTCAATAATTTTTATCTACATGTTAATTGTTCGCTATGAAACTGCTCCACATAAATCATGATAAAGTTTTGTTGGCTCATCACTATTTTCATATTGATTTTGTTACATCTGTTTGGATGTCAATACTTTTCATCTTTTTTCAAGTATGTGTAAAACAATTTTTGTTCCCAATCATAGATGGTTTTGTACATAACTTTAAGATCCTATCTTTCGATAGAAAAGATGTCTCGATCAACTGTAAAATACAGGAGAAAATTTTAAAATACTTATAACGCAATATAGTAGTGTCAGTATTTCGTCAAAATCTCTTTCATTTGAACTACTTTTCAAAATATTCATCCTCTCAACTCTTTGTAAAAATATATAAGGGCGTTTAAATTTAATTCTAAGTTAAATAAAGTGATCAAATAAGAATTTGAAGCTCTGATATGTGCCACTTTCTAGGAACAAATAGTGTATTTTTGTTTTATTCGATAGCATTTTGAGGAACGAAGAAATAAAATTAGTCATTTTGTATGCATCGAAAAGCTCTGTCTTTCAGCTGCGGTTCAAAAGTGTCCAGATCACAATGTGAACACTAGGAAAATAAATTTTAATCTAATGAAATTTTCCAAAAAAAATGATTGTTAGGTTTGAGCAATTTCAGGGATTTAGAAAATTTCGTACAAGTGAAACAAAAATGAATCTTTTTCGTATTTTTTTTTGTTTTATTTTAAGAAGAAACACGAGACGCAATGCATGGAGAGCTACGATTTAAATGTTGAATTTTCTCGGAATGATAAGATTAAAATAAACTAAATTTCGACCGTTGCCAACTCTGTTCGAAAAAAAAATTAGTTATTCAGTCACAATACTTGGTTGATACAGAGTTCGCTCGATAGAAAACGAAATGGCACATTTTATTGTATGAAAACAAAATTATCTTAGTGATTCTTGTTTTTACAATCTTAGGAAACTATTAGAGTTTTTTCAGGAAAAAGCTTTAAAAAGTTGGACACATTGAAGCTTTACAGTATTCTATTGATCATTTCTTTTTTGTAAGCTTGACATCAAACGTCTTTGTACTATTTTTTTTTTAAATATAGAATTGAATGGAGAATTTTTTGAAAAGAAGCTCAAATGAAAACAATGAAAACTGAAGAAAATATTGATGAAATAATGGCACCGCCATTATATAAATAAAAAACTATGTGCTGGGTTTGATCGATATGTGAGACTAATCTTATGATAACATGATGATAGATAATATTTATATATTTAGTATAATTGATAGTGAAGAACAATGATTGATTAAAATTATCTTCTTAATTAATATTTGCATTCACATAATTGAATTTTTATTTCTATATAGAACTGTTCGAAATAATTATTGAATTTCCTGCTGAAATCTTGAATGCTGGAAAAAGTGTTATAATTGAAAAGATCGATTCAAATGAAAACGAAAAATCATTAGAGTATTTTGAAGATCTTTACAAGATTGAAAATTTAAATCAATGTATAGAATCAATGAATATTCATTTAAAACTTCGAAAAGAATATATGCAAAGAGGAAAAACAATTATTATTCATAAAGAAAAAATATTTATTATAAACAACATTGATTATTTCAAAGAAGCAGCACATCATATCACGAATAATACATTTACTAAACGAGATTATCTTCAATTAAAAAGTATATGTCAAAATTTTTTTATTTTATATTGAAACAAAAAACAATTTTTTTTCTAAATTTTAGATATGATGGAAATGATAATTAAAGTTCCACCTGAATTTTTTGATGATGATCAAAAGCTTATTTTTAGGAAAGAAGATCCTCAAACAGCTTCTGGTAATTTTCCTTATTATCGTCAATCAAAACATAATTTAGAATTGACAAATAAAAAGTATTTAAAAGAGGAACAAAGAGTCGCTTTAAAAGACTTTATCTTAAACAAAATTTGGAATCCAATTTTATCAGATGATCGTCATCTACTAATATTATCTCTTGATTTCAATAATAAACCGCATATTGTAAATGGAGATCAACTCAAAATAAATCTAGATCAACATAATTTAAGTGTAGAAACAAAAGACGAACAAGGTTTTAATATTTATCAAGAAATTATATTACCAGAAACAATAAAAGTCAAACAATTAAAATATCAATTTGATGAAGAAAATCATCGTCTTAATATAAGCCTCTCTCTTCATTGAATCATTTTATTTCTATTATATCCCATTCATTTTTCATCTATTCACGCTTAATTTGTAGTTTTTTACTCTCATTAAATATGTTTATAGAGTTCATAATCAATCATTGAAAATGTTTACATTTTTGAATAAATTACGTTTAACAATTAAAACGATTCGAATTTTATTTTATTTTTTTTCATTTTATTTAAAAGAATATTAAACGGATATAGGAAGTTTTTTAATGATTTTATAGATGACCTATTTAAAATTTGGCATATTTACTGATGTTTGACTTTCGGATTGAGCTCAAATTTCTAATAGATTAAAATTCATAAAAAGTTTTAATTGGTATTGAAAATTTCATGTCATTTGATGAAACTATTAATACAAGGATGTCACTTTTTATACAAATTTGGTTATAAAAAAAGTGTTCCGAGTTTGGTATATAGGTTTTTTCCTTTGTACAGATTTTCGGCATCAAAATGTTTGATGAAAAAAAAACGGCCAGTTGTTTTTTCGAGAAAAGAATAAAAAAATCTTGGGCGTGTAAACGCATTGAAAAAAATTATACGCAAATTATATAGATTTTGTTTTGAGTATTATCGAAAATTTTGGCTATGTCCAAATTGCGAACAAAAATTAAGCCAATTAAGAAAAAAGTGTTCGCAATTTGGAACACAGAAAATAACGTTGATCTTATTTTTATTGCGTTTCCAAATTGCGAACACTTTAATAATTCCCTCGACTGAAGGGAGGATCATACGAAATAAAATGCGTTTGTTTGTTTGTTTGCTTGAGGTCAAAAAAACATACAAGAGAGACTAGCTTAGTTAAAGACTTCTGCCAGTTTTGACGGAACTTTGCTATAGGTTATCTAGGTCCCTGAATCCGAATCTGAAGCCAATTCCTTTGACCGAGGTTTGATTGGTCTGGAGCCGGCCAATCAGAAATGAACTTTCTTATTTTAGGACTTTTGGCCCTTTTGATCGAACTTTGCTACAGGTTATCAAAGGCACTGAATCCGAATCCGAAGCTCATTTCTTTGGCCGGGGTTTTATTGGTCGGGAGCCGGCCAATCAGAAATGAAGTTTCTTATTTGAAGGCTTTTGACCGTTTTGATGGAACTTTGCTATAGGTTATCTAGGTCCCTGAATCCGAATCTGAAGCCCATTTCTTTGGCCAAGGTTTCATTGGTCGGAAACCGGTCAATCAGAAACGAACTTTCATATTTTAAGACTTTTCCCTATTTTGATGGCACTTTGCTAGAGATTATCGCAAGGGGGAAAAAGCGGATCCTGGTGGATCCTGGGATCCATTAGGATCCGCCAGGATCCATAGGATCCATTAGGATCCACCAGGATCCACCAGGATCCACCAGGATTCATTAGGATCCACCAGGATCCACCAGGATCCATTAGGATCCACCAGGATCCATCAGGATCCACCAGAATCCATTAGAACTCATTATCATTTATGAAGATAGATTAATGTTCTGAATAGCCACAAAAGCAAAGAAATCAACCAGATTCATAAAATAAGGATGCATAATTCAAAATATGTTCTGGATGAATCAATGGGAGCACCATGTGCTATTTATACAACTATGACTAGTCTACTTTACAAAGGAAAAACGGACCTTGAGACATCCCATGATCTATTGGACTCCATCCGAAGCCATTAGAATACATGGAAACAAAGTAAACAGGCGAAGAATTGACCCTAGAATTTTTGAAAACAAAGAAAAAAGAAATCTCAGAGATTGAGAGCCTGGTGAGCCTCGATGAACTTTTGAGTATCTGAATGAGTTCTGCGGTTTATAGGATAGAATAAGATCCATCAAGATTTAGGTGTTCCTGATTGGTTTCAGATTATTATGATGCTTGTTAATTTCTGCTGAATTCTTCTGGATTTCAAAAGATTGTACTAGATAGTGTTGAATTTTTGCTAGAGAAAAGCTCAAGTCTTTTTGAGCTAGATTTCTGACATAGGCAGCAACGGCGCTGCACAGGTTCGCCATTTTTTCCGGAAAAAATGCGAAAAACGGAAAAAAGTGTGTACTCATAAAATTTTAAGATGCCGACAGAATTTTAATTGAGATTCAATCAAGATCGTAACAGTTTATTGCTATTTTCCAATCATATATTGTCGAAGAAGCTGCTAAATCTTGAGAAAGCCGTGTAGCCACGGAATTTCAAGACCTCGACAAGGCTCATCACAGGATTCTATCAGTATCCTGAGCGGTTTACCAATGCAATTAAACAAGAAATATGTTAATAGAGGGTCAAATCCTCAGAAAAACGTGTAGGCACGAAATAAACACGATTCTGTTATGATTAGAACAAAATCTTAGAGAAATTCTGAGTCATTTTGTATTGACTTTATGTCAAGCTTTTCTCAGAATTTCAATGGCTTCCAATTGGAAAATATTTTCTGATTGCACCTCGCAGAACTCCACTTCGATTCTGTAAGGATGATATCCAATGTATTGTCAAAATTTTTGCAGGATTCTCTAAGCAGAAAAGAGAAATGCACGCACATTATTGTTTTCTATATGTTCAGTTAAAAAACTGATTAGTTCACCGCAATAGACTGTACCATGCTATTTAATTTAACTCAAACCTTCTGTATCTCGAATTCCCTCTGAACTATTAACTTGTATTTGAACTTTATGCAAACATAAGTTATTTGAACAAAAATTCAATATATACTTAATCTATTGATTACTTATCATAAAATTCTACTATGACTGGTTGATTTCAATTTGAATAAAAAGGTATTTTTCTGATTAGCACGAATAAATAAAATCCAGTACAAGTTTTATTGAAGTACTCGTTCTTTACTAAAAGCTTTTTTAAGAAAAAGTTAGTGCAATAGTTAAAATGATATTAAAATCTCCATTTTAATGAGTTTGCAAGTTTTATATGAAAATAAAATTCAAAAAATAACTGAGTTCCATGCTGTAAATGTCATGCAATATTGAAGATAAATATTAAAAATCTTTGACGAGAAATCTTCAAAAATTCTGTCAGAATTCTTCCATTCACTGACACATAGAAACAAAGGAATATTAGAATGAAATTCAGGTACCTTCTTGATCTTGTACATTCCTGTCAGAATCGGAACAAAACACATTGCAAATTCTTCATTGTCATTTTAATATAGTTACTGTTAAAAGTTTATTTAACAAGCACAATTTGAGTTTTTGAGATTCAAAGATTCAAAAATATTTGAAGAATCTTAAATAGGAACTGTTAAGGATTTTGGTGGAAACATTTCATAATTTTATTCAAAATTCTGAGCCAGATCAGCCATAGATCTTGTTACAATCCTCAAGATCAAGCTTTAGTGGACTCTGAATGAAAATGGTAAAGATATTCGTCTAACCTTGGTATGCTTTCAGAAAGATCCTGGCCATCCTTGACCTTCGCTAGAAAGGATCCGAAATGCTTGTCCTTGAAGAGACCCTAAGACAACCCTGGAAATGTTCAGAAAAGATATTCGTAAGAAGAATGCTTAAGAAAATTAGATAGAATCGTGATTGAATCTTAGAAGACTCCACTACCTGAGGATTTTCAGTCCTCTTCTATTAATTCCTTGTAGGATCTTTGCCTTATTTAACTGTAAGCCAGGAGAGGACCCTGACGAAGAGATCCCAAACGAATTCTGTTAAAACTATAATAGAATCTAAGCGATATTCTTTCTGTAATCCCTATCAAGGTTTTGAGTAAGATCAAGAGTGAATACTAGTACGGTCCATTATGTTAAAATAATAAAGAAATCTGAGTGGGAACTTGAAAAGATCCTAAGAAGAATATTTTTTTCACAATGAAATATCCTGCAAACCAGTATTATTAAAATTGGAAACGGAATCCTGAATAAAATATGACATGAATCTTCAGATTCAGGAGCCCAAAATGTTCTTTCACACTTTCTCAAGGAAAAACAGGATTAAGACTAAAGTAGAGGGTTCCTCTAAGTTCTGACATCCTGAGTTTGACGGAGAAAAGCGGATTCTAGAGTCCTAAGAGATTTTAGAATATATTTCTAGAAGTGTACCAAAAGCGGTCATAGATTACCGCCATTGGCTATAATTCAACACAATCCATTACAATTTATCAGAGATAACTAGAATGCAATAGAAATCAACATGTATTACAATAATATCAAACCGACCGAGGAAGCGTAAATCTTGATGGATCCAAAAAATACGCAGAATCCATGATGATATGCCAAAATTTACCAAAACATAATCATCTCGGTATCCTGGATCTTTTTTTCTCTTTACTTAGTTACAAATTCTGAAGTCACTATTCCCTTTTCTCACTTTATTTATTTGGACCTTAAAGAATTCTCATATCCATTAAGATCAACTTTTCTATCCTCGTTTCTGTACGCTTGAAATAATTTATTCTACAGTTCATCAGGTTCCACTATGATCCATTAGGATCCATCAGGATCCAATAGGATCCACCAGGATCCACCAGGATCCA